GATGATGATGATGATGATGATGATGATGATGAAACCTGGATATAGCCCGGTGAACACACATCAACACTAGTTTTGGAATGGGTAAAGTGGGCTAACATTAGGAGGCTTCAGGAAATGCTTTCCTAAAGTCTCAGCCTATGCCTCAACGTTGGGTCCCTTTTATTATGTCTGACTGTGCTTTGCAGGCTTCTAGAGTTACGTAGTTAAATTAAGAGTAAATTACAAGTGAAACTATAAAATGCATTTTCTTATCAAATGGAAGTGTGGATGCTGATAGCTGAATGTTAAGTTAAAAATGTTAAATGAGCTGGAAAATACAGAATTTTTCACCTGAAAACAAAAGTGCAGAACTGTTGAAAGCTGACATTTACACAGAAGAAGTTGAAAAGTACAGGGTGGGCCATTTATATGGATACAGCGTAATAACATGGGAATGGTTGGTGATATTAAAGTCCTGTTTGTGGCACATTAGTATCCACGCCTCCCGCTGAACGCGTAGCGCTACTTTGAAGTTTGTTTTTCGAGCTACTTCGTACAGCACTACGTTGCCTGGCGGACGGACATGTGACCAACATACCACTCTTGAACCCCGATCCTTCCGCCAGGCAATGTAGTGCCGCACAACAGCGGAACAAACAAAACAAATGGTCTTACGATATCACAAAAATCATAGACAATCCATAGAAAAGCCGCACCTGACTAAAAGCCGCAGGGTTCAAAGCTTGTGCAAAAAGTAGCGGCTTATAGCCCGACAATTACAGTAAATGAATACTGAATTTATTTATTTTTTAATTCCTTAAAAAAATTTGACTGGAATAGTCTGAGTGTTTCAGAAACTGCTGACGTAATAGAACTAAACCACACAAACATCTGTGGGGTTCAAAGAGAATGGTATGAAAAAGAGAAAGGTCTACAGAAAAACATGTCTGAATGCACAACATGTTGACTGCAGACTGAAGCAGATTGGCTGCATCAGTTTTCCTGACAAGTTAACATGCTTGTCATAAATTTGCAACAATGCTTTGCATTCACTGCCTCATATTAAAAAAATCCCAACTTACTTTTTCATGAGGAATGTGTTGAAGAGCTTCTGTTTCTTGATGAACAGGGCAATCCGTCGGTTTAGGTAGACAAACAAAGCCCCACCAAAACCACTGATAATACTGCAGAAAAAGAGAAAGAAGTTAATGCCTTGAAGACATTAAGAAATATGATTTTTATATTGAGGGACTAAATCTTGTTCTGCGGCTTTGCAGAACCTCTGCCGATCTTCACATCAGAGAAACTGCCTGGATGAGATCTTTTAATTCTTAATCTAAACTAATCACTTGTTTTGAGAATTATAGCTGCTATCAACTTCAACATAAGCTATTGCTTAGCTACTCCATAACCAATGGCTAAACAACACACCAATAAACACATCAAATGCCATTCTGAGTTTGTTCTATTCATTTAACCATTACACTGTCCAAACCATGAATCAGTACATGGGATACAAAACACACAAATGCACAGACTGCACAAACATACCAAACTACAAACCAACAGAATGCTGCACCAATTATCACACCAAATTGCAACATCAACCCACTGAAACAAACTGCAGTCAAAAGAAGGTTTCACCCCATGCTCACCCTATCCTTTTCCTCATCAAACACCAGGCGAGGTGAACAGGTGAGTGCACCCACATATACTGCGTAATACCCACCCATGAGTCATGCCTCACAACAGTTTACCCATACAGTGACACCCAAAAACCAACCACCCAAAAAAGAAACATGTTTCATGAAATATTAACATATATACATATAACATTTGATAACTTTCAATGTTATATTGTGAATAAAATATTGATTTGAGATTTGCTAATAATTATATTTCATTTTCATGTGTATTATACACAATTCACAATTAGAAAATTTAAGTTTTTAAAATTCAGTTTATATATTTTTGGAAAAACTAATACGTTGTGTGATTTTTTTTTCTTCATATGGGTTCAAATTCAGGTCATAAATATTTTGTACCTGTAAATCAGACTGTGCACTTATGAACTGTAATGTAAAACAAAATATCTAAAAGTTTTATCTTTGTGCATAACACTTCACGTTTTATGCACAAGTTCCTGACTTGACTGTGTTTGGCCTTACTGAGCTTCAGACAGCAACAGTGCTTCCTGGGCACAGGTAAGCATTACTTTATGGTTTGGGAATCAACTGATTTTTTTGTAACCGGTTAAAACTGTTATAAATAGATATTAACCACATTGAAATCCATGTTAAAATGTAAAACAGTAATGGTTAAAGTATTTAGAAAGAATCTGTAATTATTGCCAAAGGAGTACAATGTGTTTAATACATTTAAAAGTGCATTTGCTTTATGTGTGGTTCATTTTTAATTTAGTAAGGTTGTTATCGTGTTTTATTGTGAAGAACTGTGTAATAGGAAGCGAGTATGTTTGTGATGGAAGTAGGACTGAGAGAAGTTGTGACAGAAAGTACAAGAAGTTTGCAAGTGTATGTATAACCTTGACTATCTGATTGACGGTCTTTGTCGATATGCACATTTGTAAACTGGCTGTAAGAAGCTGGGGATGTTTCTGCTCCTAATTCACCACGCAGCTGCATACTTCCTTCCTTCCTTTTTCTTTCCTGCCCTGTTTGTTTCTTTAGCTGTCAGAATATTTGTGTGAAGGCCAAGAAAGATACCAAACGGATTTATTTTACCAAGTGGATCATCACAGCCTTGCTGTATTGGTCCATTTCAACATTTGTTATTATTATTTTATTTTATTGTATTTTATTAAGTTATTAGAGATGGGACAGACATGACCGGGGAATAGGACAGGGAGAGAGAAAGAGAGGGAGGCTAAGGAAAAAACAGAGGGGAAGAGGGACAGTGAGAGAGGACACTTTAAAAAAATCACCCGGATCACCGGTTGAGAGAAAAAAAATGAAAAAAGAGAAACAAACAAAAAGAGAGCAACATATTATACACAACACTACTGCAACCCACTTAGCACTTAACCTAGCTAAGCGTAAATAACAGTAAATACTGAATTTTCAAAGTTTTTTATGCAGCAGTCAAGACGGACAGCTCACAGTGTGCTGTGAGGTAGCAGCCAAGAAAGATGTAGTTTGTGTCTGTGAACACCTGTGTGGATCAGCACGGTTGTATTCAAAAAGTTTCTCCATGTAACGATCTGCTAGAGGGTGTGGGGAGACATAGCCCCGTCCCCCAGGGCATGAAACAGGCATGGAGGAGATCCAGGCCCCAGACATCCAGAGGCCCCCGAGTGTGGGAGCCCAAGGAGGAGCTGAGGAGGGACATCTGTTCCAGCCTCCTGGGAAGAGCTGAGGAGAGCCCCAGACGAGGGGTCACTCAGCAGCCTGCGGGATCCACCGGCAGCCAGCTGTGCCAGAGTGGACTGAGCCCCCCACCCCCGGTTGGAGCCTGACCGAGCCACGGGCGCCAGGCCGGGAGTGTGCCCCCATACCTTGGAGAGTCTGAGGTGTTGCCAGAGGGGCGGAGTCTAAGACCCGACCTGACATATAGACACAGACGAACAGGCACACACAGACACAAACTTGCATTCTCACCCTCATGCACACATATACAATTACTCAGCACTCACCCAACGTAAAGACAAATGGACACTGTCACACAATCACACTCCACAAACAGCCTCTATACAAGGTACCCTCGCCCCTAGAAGGGGAATCCGCACCTAGACCCAGGAGATGTTACCCTTTTGTCACAGTCCAGAGTTTCTGGTGCGAGAGAAGAGTAAATGACTGGTGAGACGCCAAGAGAGACTGAAGAGGAGTGATAGTGATCCCCTGCTTTTCACTGTGGATTCCCTGGAGCCCTAATCCCTGCACGCTTGTATATAGCACTTAGTCACTGTCACACACTTCACCTGGTGTTTGTGAATAAAACCCTCTGTTCTTCCTTTGAGCAAGTAGTCCTGCGTTTGAGTCCCCCCAATGACCGTAACACCTTTTCCCTGCGGTGGAGACATTGGACATGGCAAGTAGCCCCTCCCTGTATGCTGTATCACTGTATGCTGATCACTCTGCATTCAACACATAACTGTTTCCCTACAGAAAACATGCCTCTGAAAACATGTGACTACAGAGCCTATGCATGCAGGAATATTAATAAACGTCTAAAATTAGTTTTAGTTTTGAGTTGAAAAGATCCACAGGAACCACATTTGGACTATAAATAGCCCGTATACTGAGGTCTTACTGATGTCACAGTAAACGTATAAATATAAAGTGTCAGGGATCCTGGGTCTGAGCGACCCAGGATCCCTGAGCAGTTATGGACTAATATTATAATATATATTTTGTATTGCCGTCCCTCGTTATCCCTGCTTGTATGTGTGTGTATGTGTTTCTGCGGGCGCCTTCAGGCCTGGTGGGTGTGGCCCTGCTAGCGGACTGGCCACACCCGAAGCCACACACCTGCTGCTGATCAGGCCTCGTCGGGGGAGCTACTTAAGAGAGTCTTGGAGCTCCCACCGACACGGGATCATTTCGTGAGACTTCCCGTCAGTTCTTCAGCTGGTCTGTTTGTGAGTGTGAGCTTGCCAAGTGAACTGAGGGTGCTAACTACTGCCTCTATTTTCCCAGGACGGATTGCTGGATGAGAGGGCAGCAGTCACAGAGTGCACTGGCACGAGGGAGCAGACACATGAGCACAAACACTGGGAGAAGACACGGAGTGGAAGTCGGGAGCACACGGGGATGTGTTATTGTTGTGTATCAATTCCATCACTGTAAATAAACGCACTGCTTGTACATAGAGCACCGCGCCTGGGTCCTCCTTCCCCACACCCCCCACGGTTTGCCATGCCAAACTGTGACATAAAGTATAATAGACATGAAAAAAGGTCAAAGCCTGGCATTACAAAACAAAGCCTTCAGTCCAAATTTACTTATAAAATATGTCACTTCAACATCACTTTATGCTCTCCCCTCACCCCCAAAGAGTCAGCAGGAAATGGCTGCCCTCTCTGAGACTTGTTCTTCAGGAGGTTTCTTCCTGTTAAAAGGACGTTTTTTCTTCCCACTCTTGCCAAGCACTTGCTCGCAGCAGGTCATCTGATTGCTGGGGTTTTCTCTCTGTTAATGTAGGGTCTCTACCTCATAATATAAAGCACTTTGAGGTGACTGTTGTTGTGAATACATAAATAAAACTGAATCAAACCTACTTAAGTAGTGCTCCTTAATAATATCAGAATATATGCGGCAATCATAATATGTTGGAATATCTTTCAGAACAAATGGCTTTTAAATGACTGCTAAAAAACTCAGTCAACAAAAAGTATTTCGTATGCACATCTTTTTCCTGATGCTTAGCTGATGAGTTGGAACTAGTGGGTATTTTTCAATTTTACTATTTTTAAAGCAAATTTTAGCATTTCAAATTTAGAGATGGAAACTTACCCAAGCAAAGCGAAGGCAGGCATCTCCTTGAGGTCAAAGGGAAAGTCTACCTGGAAATGGGTTCTAAAGAGGGCTGTGACGGTCTCTGGTGCAAGAGAAAGCAAAAGCAAGAGGACAAGCTAGTGTATCACTGAATAGTCATCAAAACTTCGAGGTGCAAGTATCCAAACTTTAGCAATAACATTAAGCATTACAGATGTTGAATAACTGGTGGAAAATGGAGAGTAAAGCTAGTTTCAGGCTGAGCATAGTGAGCAGCTCTTTCTGATGCAACAGGAATGTGGTGTATGTCTTGTCCCAAAAACAGATTAGGTAATCTATCATTTGTTAGGTGAATGCATAAAAAATGATCCTGCTGAAGTTTATTGAGAAAGTACTGAGCAAACCTCAAAACCTAGCCATGTTTGATCATACTACACAAATAATGGGGGAAGAACACTAGAAACTGAAACTTGCAGCTCCACTGTGATTCATTTTGCTGCGTTTACTTTGACTTGTCTCTTAAATATACCATCAATATACAAATCACAGCTACATGTATTAGTAACGTGGAGACACAGCTTCATTTGTTTATGCGTTCTGTGTTCAGGGTCTGGTGATTTACTTTTTAAATTGACATTTTTAAAGAGACTACATCTGTCAAATTAGGAATTCATAAGTCCCAACAAGCTTTGAGTCCACATTTTCCTGAATTCATAACTGCAAACAGCCTACAATTTCATTCAACATAAATTAGCGCTGTTGTATCTATGAAAGCAGTAAGGTTTCATTTAATGATCAATGCTTTTTTTTAGTATTAAAAGGTGTGACATTGTGAATTCCTTAAAACACCTGGTAAAAACATCTGGCCAAACAGTCATACCTTCGTCTTTGTACCACACAGCCAATACCCTGAAAAAGAAGGCAGCGATGGTGACGGAAAAAAACCCTCTCCAATAGCTCCTCACAGCAAAGAATGTGAATGTTACTTCAATACTGAAGAGCACACCTGAAACACACAAACAACGCAAGGCATGAGCATTGGAACTGACTTTTAAAATATTCAGAAACTTACACTGACTTTTCAAAAACCCGTCTTGCACTTGTGCTGAAGAACAATATTTTCTTTTGTCTGTTGAATTTGCTAGCCAGCATCTTCACTCAGATCTCATTGTCATTTACTTCCAGCTCATCTTGGATAGATTTGCTCATGGCGAGCTGTATATATATATATACATGACTTAACAAGAGAGGCTCAAAAAAATCTTGAACTTGAAGAAATTGGCACTGATACATAGGCGTGAAAAAAGAAACCCTCAATTACAAGATAGCTTGTGAAATATTACTGAAACTGCTCCACAGATTTCAGCAACATAAAGCTTATCATATTACATGTTATAAATTACACTGCTCAACTTAAAGCCTTAACAGTGTTTGCAGATTTAGCTTACTTCGGAGTGTTACCACGTCACATTTGATGAACCTCACCTCCTACGGGCGCAGCAAGAACGCAGCCTACTCCCACAGCACAGGCTGCTGCTAGCATCTCTCTGTACCTGGACTCATTCTGAAATCACACGGAAGTGATTACATTTCAGCTTTAGAATAAATAGATGTGGAATACAGAAATAAATAACCTACTCACCATTTAGGCAATATTGAATAGATTAGACTACATTAAATTAGCTACAATTACAATGTAACTGTAAGAAGGTGGAAGACCATTTTAAGTGTTTACTATGAATAGCGGTAATTTTCTGCTCAAAATGTCTGTGAAGTTTCTCAGACATTTCTCATCTGCTCAAAGATATACTGTATGAAATTGTATCTTCTTTCGCTTTGAAGGTAAAAAGGTTCGAAAAATAAAATTGTAAAATATGATAATACTAATAATAATTCTTTATTTAAAAGGGACAATGGAGTGTAACATAGTCCAAGTATAAAACATGAAACTGATGCACACAAGTTTATAGCCATAGTATGTTATACTTTCTTACCCCCACACAATGAAGCTTTGTTGGCACATCTGTTTGTCATGATCCTGGCTTTTCTCCCAGCTATTTTGAAATTGCTCTTGTTTTTAGTCTGGATATACTTTTGCCTAGTTTATGTTTTCATTTTGATATTGTTAGTTATCAACTTTTTCTTGTCCTCCTATTTCTCTCAGATCTAGTCTGTGTTTGTGTTTTCTCCTGTGTTTAGTCAGTTTTGTCATTGTGGTTTTACCAAATTTGTCAGAATCCGGTGGTGTTCCAGAGAAGGCATTGGAGCTGATCAACACTGGTAGATTAATTTATTCTTCAAAGAGCATGCAAATTATAGCTAAAATCTTCATCAATATGATCACACTGCTTATTTCCTGTGAAAAAGCGAGCTTCTGCATTTTGATCGACTTGGAGGTGACGAGGTAAAGATTGAGCAGAGCCAGCATGTAAAGAATTACAATCATCGAGATGAGAGCAAATGAAAGTCTGAATTACTGTCTCTAAGCCGTGTGGTTGGAGGCAGGCCTTCACCCTGCTGAGGAGACTCAGTTGAAAGAAACTTGTCTTAACAACAGAGCTGATCTGTTTATTAAATTTTAAAGCACAGTCAAAAGTCACACCAAGCACTGTCATACCCGTCAAATGGGTTGGGATGCCCAAATAAAATAATTTCTCTCCATAAGTTTCTCTCCAACCATAATTGTACATCTCTGAGACAGTTCACTAGTGCCTGAATAGAAATATGACTGTTGGTATTTTATAGGCAAAAATATGTGTAGGACATTTGCAAAGCATTAAGAAAAATAAAATCAACAGTGGATGAATTCAATAAAACATGAGAAAGAAAAAGATGTAAGACTCACCTCATAGATTCCTCGAAACACAGGCAACTTGCAGAGGAGAGCGCCACACAAACTGGCGATGTGTACAAAGGGAGCCTGACAGAAGGAAAAAATAATGGCATAAAACAGGTTCTCTAGCTGCTTTTTGACGGTCTGTCAACAGTTACACATACACATGTTGTGGTTTTTATGCCAGTTGCAGAATATGAGAAGTGATCTCAGGTGAAAATCTAATTTAAATTTAAATTTCATATAAGCACAATGGTGTTCCAGCACTTTGCTTCGATTTACTCTGTGTGGGTTTCTGAGGACCAGATGTGGTCCGAGTGTAAGCCCGTCTTCTGAGGGATCTTTACTCTTTATTTGGATATCTTAAAGCTGTCATTCCATATTAAAAGGGCTGTCTCTTCGTGGTGGTGTCTTAATGCTGTGACTCACTGAAAACGTGCAAGTCAGCAACAGTAGAATGTGGATCAAAACGTCAATTTTTTTTTTTTTTGCCTGTCCCGTTTGGTTCTTTTGCATCAGAATTATTGTCTAAAGGCGAAGAAAGATGCCCAATGGATTTACTTTACCAAATGGACCATCCCAGCCTTGCCGTAATCGTCCATTTGATTCACCTTTTATGGTTTATTTTATAAATTTTTTTTTTCACTTGCTAGATACGGGACAGACTTGAATGAGGAAAAGAAAAGGGAGAAATGAAGAGGGGGAAAAACAGCAGGGAAGAGGGACGGGGATAAAGGGCAAAAAACAAAAACTAAATAAGCAGACAAAAAAAATCCATCTATCAATCACCTGGATCACCTGTTGAGAA